AGCCGCTTGAGCCACAGGCGCCGAGCCGAGAGTGTGTATATCTCACTGACCCATTTATTCACTATCTCTTAACAAATCTTGATTAAACATCAAGAACATTGCAGACCCTGAGTGAAGCAAAGGAGATGAGGGGGTGGAGAGAGACACCTGCTTCTCCCCGTACAGTGTAAGCTTAGTGGGGAAGGCAAACATTTAAACGTGACAAGGGCTTCTAAGGAAACGTGACATCTATCCTGATCTGACCTAGTGAGGGCCAGTGAGTTCAGGGAGCAGGAGGAGCCGGGCAAAGGGAACTCCGGGATGCGCGTCTCCGAGAGGGGTAGTCTGAAGAGCCAGGGAGTCTGTGGCTTAAAGTTTGAGTTCTCTGTCTTAATGCATCTGTGGTCCATGTCACATAAACCTTTACATTTATTTAAATCTTTAATTGAGAAGGGATCTAACTTCTGTCTTTTCATCTTTAAAATACTGTTTACACAAAATCCCTTCTATGTGTCCTTGGTTTAATGCTCACTGATGGTCATTCCGTTCATCAGCTTCTCAGTTTTCATTTGCTTTGTCTGTGGTCTGCTCAAAGTGGACCTCCAGGCCAGATTTTCTCTCCAAGAAGCTTGCACGCGATTGCAAGTTCTCCCTAACGATTTGCTGTTAGCCTTATGTCTTCATCCTTCAGAATATTGCTGCCACTAGTGCTACTCCTGTTACTAACACCGCTAACATCTCAACGGGAACCCCCTTCATTTTGTTCCCTTTCATTCCTTCGCACTGTATATAGGGTCACTTTTCTATCTGCAGATTTCTTTAATGTAGGATTTTTTTTTTCTCTTAAGCCTTTATCAATTTTTCTGTCATTACCTTTTCTTCAGAAAAAGCACTAATCAGCATGTTTACTACAGTTCTTTCTCCTCCACTGAGGATTCTTCAGGTGCCTTCTAAATTGCTCCGATTTCCTGCTTTGTCAGAACTACTCTTTGCTGTTTCTAAATTGATTTTAAAACTTGGTTATACTTTAGATATCTTCCAGTCTTTTGCGAATCCATCCTTCCTTTAAAGCATTTCTGTCTTTACCTCAACCCTCTAGTATCTATGTTAGGACAGTCGGCGCTGAGGTTAAGATGATGATGCATTGTGCATCCCGGCTGCACAGGCCGCATTAACACCTGGCCACCTGCTAGCTATTGGCCAGGCATCAGTTGTGTAGCCTGCTCTAGCATTGCCACATGCCCATTCTCAGCCCCCTGCATTTCCATTTTTTTCCTAAGCAGCAGCACTTTCTAGACAGTAGGCATCTCCCTGAGTGAAGGGACCCAAAGGGTCCCATGTCCTTATGGCCCCAGACCTGGAGACCTTCTCTTCTTCATTTTGGATCTCTTCGCTGATCCTTGAGGCTCTTGGGCATGAAAGGGTGTGTCTCACCAACCCCCCCCCCCTCAACTTTATAAGGTCAGAGCTTGATTGTCTTCAGTGGTTCCCACACCTATAACATTACGAAATCAACTTAATTGCCTACATTGGGGACCTTTTCTTATACAGCATCTTACTTGCCTTTTAAAAAATCTTACATACGGTACCCAGGGATTTTCATATATCACAGGAGAGTATCTCCCAAACCACTCTTTTATTTCTCTGTGGAGGTAGAGCTGGGAATTCATGTCAAAAAGCCAGTTCATTCTTACATTGATATAGAAGCTACCGTCCTTGTCCTGCCAGTGTGCCCTGGGGCTTTTTGGCTTTCAGAGCCCCCCAGATCTTGGCAGATCATCCTCTGGTATTTCCAGTGCTGTTGAAACGTATCTTTGTGTTTTCATGAGGGGAATTTAAAGACTCAATAGCCTTCCAATAGCTTATCTCAGATTCCCTCATTCACATTTGTAGAATGGTTCACGTTGGTCTTAGAATAGAAAAATGTTCAATTTATGTAAATATTTATAAACATCTCGAAGACTAATTTAATAATTCTTTATACTCTCACCTTCTCTTTCAGCTAAATTTTATTCTGTTTCTGAATACGGTTAGAGTGCTGGCGACCAAAATTTGGGAGACCAATGCAGTTGGGCAGGACACCAGGAAGCAGTACAGGTAATTCCTAGACAGGGACCATCAGAGCAAGGGTTTAAAGAACAGACATTGGTTGATCTGAAATGTCTTTAAGAGATAAATCTATTAATGTATACTTTTGTTTGGTTCAATTGTGTGATTTATAAGAAAGGTATACATGTTTTAGGAAAATATAAGTAACACCAAACCTACTTGAAGTGCTTAAATTGTAAATATATTTTCAGTCTGTTTTTAACAGATAGGAGTTTCCTGCAAACCATATATGAACTCCCAGAAAAATCTCTTGTTGATCTTAGCAGACAATTTTATCTGCGTTCTAAAAATATGCCATAAATGAAAAAAAATCAAGAATTTTTTCAAATCAAGAAAATTTGCTAGCCTGTTTATAATCTTTCCATCAAATTGGCTTCTACCAAATATGAATTTTCAAAATCTTTCAAAAATGTACTGATTGACAGAGGTCAGTCCATTTTTGGTCTTTCCTGAAGGAAAGAGTAAATTGAGTATTTACGATCGTTATCAAACTATCTTAAGGGTGTGTTCATTTCTCGTAATGATGGTTTTGGAAATTCTGAATGACAGTGGCTTCTATCAACCAGACATATACATCCACTAGTCAAGTGGATGTGGATTTGACTGTGAAATTCCAAAGCAGGTAACTATCTCTTTCTGCCTCAGATTGTTATGAAATGCTCTCCCAATCACAGAAAGGAAGGAATCATAGTTAGTGTTTCCATCCTCTCTCACGAATGTTCTCTACGTCCTTTGTTGATTTAGTCCTCCCCATCATTTATAAAGGCAGCATTTATTGCTGAGCATTTACTGCGAAGGCTGGATCGGATGCTCAGGGTTAACATATCTGTAGCTGCTGCGAGCTCTAGTTATTTTCAGTCTGCAGCAAGTGGCAATACTATAATATATAATTGTGCATAAGAATTTATAGTGAAGGGCCTATGTTAGGGCTTGTCTCCCATGCCACATCCCACTGGTCAAGGGATGATAGAGTAATGGAAAATGCAAATGACATTACATTCGTCTTCATAAAGCTGAAACGTGCAGTGAAGAAGCCACTTATTGTCTAGTTCTTAATAAAACCTGCTTATTTCTATAGTTCTGAATGATGTGAACTTAACACTTTTAGTCAGAGGTTGCCCAAAAGATGTGAAAAATTTTGGAGAAAACAAAAGCATAGCTCATTTTACAAACTGAATAGAATGGACATATTTTGAGATAATTCATGGGGAATTATTTCTCAGAATAATTGCAGAAAGTAATTTATCGGGGATTAGAATCATCTACTATGCAGAATTCAGAATAACTTTTAAGCAATCTTGTGCCCAGGAGTTTTAAAAGTTTGAAGTGGTTAATTAGAACAGTCTATAGACAAAGAAAAATCAGGGAAAGTATTTTTCTGCCAAGTGCATTTTTTATGAGTGGAAGCATACTTAATATCCTTAATAATGTTCAAAAGTAAAAGCCTAGTGAAAAAAAATGTAGGAACCTACCTTGGAATCAAGTTGTGAATTCAATTTTACATTTAGTTTCTGAGGCCTTAGAGTCCCAGGCGTTCTCAAACTACGGCCCGCGGGCCACATGCCGCCCGCCTAGGACATTTATCTGGCCCGCTGAGTGTTTTTGCCACAACTGCCTGTCCTGCTTAGCAGCTGACTCATCCTGGGGCAGGCAGTCCAGCCCTCCAATGGTCTGAGGGACAGTGAACTGGCTCCCTGTTTAAAAAGTCCGAGGACCCCTGCTTAGACTATCAGGTTTAAATGTATCACACTTTTCAAATAGACATAGGAAAATTAATCTGTGTCCCTGTAGCAGTGACATTCCTACTCTGAGAGTTAATTGACTATTTAATTTACATCAACTCATTTTTGTACCTTTAAATTTGCCTTTCATTCTGTTATTACTTTGCCTCACAAAGGTTCAAATTGTCTTGATAGAGAAAAGGTTGCCAGGACTGGAAAAACATAAGAGATTAAAAGAATGCAAAATTCAAGGTAAAAGACTGCATGAATGTTTTGGCTAAATGTTAGACCTCCCCCCAAACCATATCGATGCTTATTATTTTTAAAATAAATCTAGCCAATGTTTATTATAAAATGGGATAGTAAAGATGACAGATTTTTAGGCCAGTAAAGTGGTGGCACTTTACTGTGTAACTTTAGGTGAGTACTTTCCTTCTTTGAGCCTCTCTCCTTACCTCATAAGGATAATAATAGCTCTCTCACATGGTTGCTGGAATAAAGGGAGGCAGCCAGCACAGGATGTAACAGGAGCCTGGTGCTTCACAGCCAGGAGCTCGTTTGCTGAGTGCCCTCCTTGAACCCTCAATCTAGGGGAGGGTGTGAGGAGAGAAAGAATGAGGGTGAGAGATCGATGTAGCGATTGATTTAATTAAAGTGAGGAAAGTACCAGTAGAGATGCCCATACAAAATGCTATGTTTATAGAACAAAAGGAAAAATTAATTCAAGGCCAGGAGGGATCAAGAGAGGCTTAAGAGCAATCGTGTTTTTTAAAGCTAAATTGACTCTTAAAACTAGAGATTTCCCAGAGCTGTTCACCTGGGGAGAGATCACCTTAGGAGAAATCACCTTAGGAGACATACCACAAAAATTGGAAATCTATTTTCTAAATAGGACACTGAGTCCCCAAACCATTTGACTTGTTTGTATCCCTCTCTCGGCTTAGACACAGAGACAGCACCATGTTTACCGCAAGCCCCATGACCATTATCAGTTGGTACATCCCTGAATCATCTCATTAGACAGCTGTGCATTTTCAGACAGCTGGGTTGTAAAAATGTACAGATAATGTACTGGGTGACCAGATGAACAATGGAAAAAACAATTCAGTACCTAGGATCACTGTGTGATTTGAACTGAATGGAAAAATCTAGCTTAATAAGTGAATAGACAGATGACCCATATGCTCATTTGCCTTGCTCAGGCCCCTACTTTAACTCATTCACTGTCATGAAAGGATACATTTTAAAAGAAGAGATTATCATAATTCATACAAATATAAATAAAAACAGTTCAAATATTTCATTTAACTCAATAATTAATGTAGGGAATGATATTACAACTGATTCAAAATAGAACTCAATGTATAGTCAGATAATAAATGTGGATTGAATTTAGAAATGTATGTAAACTAGAAAAATATATCAATGTCTACAGGGCTATAATTAGTGGCATTTCACTGGATAGAATTTGTGTTTCTATGGGTAGGGATTCTTTGCATTATTGTGGTAGGTATATTCCAAAATGCCCCCAAAGATTTCTGCCCCTGAGTGAACATGCTTTGTATAAGTCCCATCTCCCAATACCCTTTGCCTCAAGTGTGGGTAAGACCTATGATGAAACAGTGTCTCCATGGATTATGTTATATGGCAAATAAGGGTGGTAGGATGGTCACTTCTATGATTATAAGACTCTGTCCTCATAGCATGGACAGATACTCTTGTTGGTATTGAGAAATTAATCTGACATGTTGTGAGAGCCTCTTGCTGGAACATAAGAGCAGCCTGTAGGAACTGAATCCTGACCAACAGCCAGCAGACAGTCTGCATCTGCAAGGAACTGAGGTCTTCTAGCAATCAGAATGAGCTTAGCAGTGACCCCTGGGGTCCTGATGAGAATGCACACATTAATTTCAGCCTGTGAGCTTGTGCGCTGAGGACCCACCATGTGTGCCTGCACTCCTGGCTCATAGAAGCTGAGACATAATAAATGGTGTTGTTTTAAGCCACTAAATCTGTGGCCATTTGTTACACAGCAATAGAAAATGAATATAATTACTATCTGTTTTCTGTAAATTAACCTTTTTCTCTGCAGAGTTGTAAAGAGCTTAGTCATAGACAAAGAAGGAAAAATCCAGATGGCTGAGCTAGCAAGATACCCACTAAATTTCTGTTGCCTAAGGCAACTTTTTCTTACTCTGCATTGAGGTAATCTGTTCCTAAATATTTACATTTGTTACCATTTCACAATGTGTTGCGCTGCTTTATTTTTTGTTTTAACCCAGTTTTTGACTCCTAGCCATATGCAGTAGGAATAATCAATGTTAGCTTGATTTTGACATCAGTCTCCCAGGAGATTTATTCTTTCATCTTAAAGGAGGAAATGTAATTTTCTTTTCAGAGTGGTGTTAGATAAGACTTTCAAGGTCCTGCAATGCAGTTAATGCTGTCCCCCTTTGTCAGATTAGACTGAATTAAAAGGCCTTGAAGGTGCTCAAAATGATCTTCCCCTGTAGGCAAAGATGGAAAGAAGATATCACCGGTCAGAATTGAGAACAAGCATATCCCCATTGGTTAGGTCAGAGAAACCACTCCATATCAGAGATGCTATCTTGAGAAAATAGACTTGAGGTAGAATTTTCAAATGGAATGGACTATAGGTAACTAAAGGTATAAGTTATGAGGACTACAGCGGCCTAGAAGAAAGCTCACAGGGGTCAAGGGAAACTATGAAAGTGAGACAGAGTGGGTGGCCCTGAGCCAAGAAGAGCAGATGGTCAGGACCCTAGTGAGAGATAAAGCAGGGAAAGAAGCATGAGATGGAGCAAATGTGTAATTCCAGATGTCTAAATTAGGCATTTCAGTATTTGTGGCAGACTCTAGTTCCTATAGGAGTTAACAAGAGGATTATGTAGGAAAGTGTATGTATGTAAAAGATGATGCCTAGAATATTAGGTTTCTTATAAACTTCTGTGCCCTATTTCCTCATTTTAGTGATAAAAAAAACTAAATCATGATTGCATGGGTAGTTAATGTTAAGTCTAGAACCTTAATTGAGTTCTTTGTACTCCTAGTCCAGTGTGATCTCTGCTCACCTACAAAGCTTGTTTCCAAGAAGAAAAATAAACAAATACAGCTGTAGGAATCTGAGTATGGGTCTTCTGCTTCAGGTCTCTTACAAGGCTACAGTTGAGATGTTAGTTGGGGCTGCAGTCTTATCTTAAGGTTGGACTGGGGAAGAAGCTACTCCTAAGCCTATGTGATTGTTGGAAGGATTCAGTCACTTACTTTAGGATCTCTTTCCTTGTCACATGGGCCTCTCAATAGAGCAGTTCACAACACGGTAGCTTGCTTCACTGAACCAAGCAAGGGATCACGTTACCTAGTAAGAAGAAAGTTACAACCTTAAGCAATGCAATCACAGAAGTGGCATGCCCTCTTCTTTGCCATAATCTGTTGATCAGATTATGTCCCAGGTCCTGCCCACGCTCAAAAGTGAAGGATTAATAAGGGCACTGGGGATCATTGAGGACCATGTAGAGTAAACCCATATATTGGAACAGCCTTGGATTCTTCAAATTCTCAAGTAGTATATATAAACTACTTAAGTATACAAAATAAAAAAATAACTAGACAAAAGAGAATTAAGATCTTTGACAGAAAATATTCAGAGAAGGCAAGAGGAATTGACCACATGTAGCTCATAAGAAAATGTGTAATGTCTTTAAGAATAAGCATAAATGCAGAGCCAGATGTAAGAAGAAAAAAGGCAGTAACTCATTTTAAAGTGAACAAAAGCCAAAGGCTCCTATAAAAGTAAAGGCAGTTAACTTGGATAAAGGTTAATATTAATTTTCAAATATAGAAGTTAAAGAAGACTTAGGACAGTAAAAAAAGGCATTTCACAACTTTATGAAAAGAATATCATTGAAGGGTAGTGCCTGTGGCTCAAAGGAGTAGGGTGCCAACCCCATATGCCAGAGGTGGTGGGTTCATACCCAGTCCCAGCCAAAAACTGCAAAAAAAAAAAAAAAAGAATATCATTGAAGCAAAAAGTATGGATATACAATTAGAAAGATTTGGGGTAGCGGTTCTCAACCTATGGGTCATGACACCTTAGGGGGTCGAATGACCCTTTCACAGGGGGTCACCTAAAACCATCACATATACCCCATACAAATGCAGGTGTATGAAAATACTTTTATGGTTAGAGGTCACCACAACATGAGGAACTGTACTAAAGGGTTGTGGCATTAGGAAGGTTGAGAACCACTGATTTAGGGGGTAATAATTATGGGAAGTGAGAGTAAACTCCCTGATTTAGTATAAAAGTGACAGGAAGAAGAGGGAGGGGGAAAATAAATGAGTAGAAGTGGTGGGAGCCAAAGAGAGAGAGAAGCTTTATTTTTTTCCAGCAAGCTATGTCTGCTGAAAGGCACTCTAGTTGGTCAGTAAAAAGGCTTGCCGTTCTCTTTTAGGAAACTGGCCAAGTCTACGCTGGTCCTGGTCCTGGTCTTCGGGGTGCATTACATCGTGTTCGTGTGCCTGCCCCACTCTTTCACCGGTCTCGGGTGGGAGATCCGCATGCACTGTGAGCTCTTCTTCAACTCTTTTCAGGTAGATTGCCGCCTAGTTATTTGATTCTTTAAGGTTTTTTTTTTTCTTTTTCCTCCCCTGCAATTCGTTTCTCTGCCCTCTCTCTGGCTTTGGTGCATCGAGGGCCTTAAAAAGGTGGTATTTTTTGAGGCCTGTGCTTTTCTGTTCTATGGAGGTCAGGTTATTCCTCTGCTCACAGCAGTACAGCTCCGGAGCTAGCGGTCACACCAACAAACCGGGCAGAGATATTAGAAAACATCTTGTAAAATGCGTAACACGTACAAAGCGGGGATGTCTGCTGTATGGAAAACAAATGAAAGCAGAAGAAAGTGAAGGCAAGGAAGAGGACAAAGGGGCAGGAGAAAGGAGACATGAGAGAGGAAGAAGTTGCTGCTGCACATTGTATGTCATCGGAAATATGATTACCACCTCTTCCACGTGCTCATTTGCTGCCACCCCTTGCTGGCTTAAATCTAGCCCATATGTCATACAATAGTCGGAAGAATCTTAAGAATATGAATTTGACCATGTCACTTACTTGCCAGAAATATGTACAGGCCTCCTGTTGCTCTCAGAATGAAATTCACATGCATACACAGCCCGGGAGGTGTGGGGCCTGCTCACCTCTCACTCTGTCTCATCCCACGCTCCAGGTACCCACTGAGACTGAGCCACACTATTGCTGCCACGCTTTCTGATTCCACCTCAGGGGCTCCCACTCGCGGTTCCCCTTCCCATGGGAAATTCACACAGCTGGATTCTTGTTCTTGTTACTAAGACCAGTTTAAAAGTCCCTTTCTCGGAGTGGTCTTTGTTGAGTTCTTCATCTAATCTACCCATTATTCTCTTTAACATCCTTTTTTTACCTGGACAACTCTTATCATCTTGCACTTTTCTCATGTGGGTGGTTGTTTATATATTAATAAGTGCTTCTTCCCTTCTAAAACAGGGACCTTATCTGTCTTGTTACATTGGTTAATCCTGTCAGGCTGAGCAGCTGATACCACACTGTGTAATTTCACTAAGTATATTTGAATGAATGAAGAAAAGTTTCTTTATATTCTAAAGACTCTATGTCTATAGTTTTCAGCATTCACAGCTTATAAATATCTTTTACCAAGTGAAGGATGGACCTTATGTGGTCCTTGAATGACAACATAAATAAACTATAATAATAGAATACAACTGTGTTCTTTGTGTATCATAGTGTTTTGTTCAGTGACATATTTGGTTCTGCTGACACCAAGAAAAGATGCCAAACAAATTAAATATAATTTAATTTAAGGATTTAA